TGATTAATTGATGTGGAATCGTGAGTGGGCAAAAATCGTCGAGGACAACAGTTGTGACAGCGCATATTGGCAGGTGAACCGAGCTGATCTTATGTTGAAATAACCATACATTTGCAAAATGGCTTGTTAGGTCAGCAATGTAATGACTCATTGAAGTGTGGGAATCATCGATATGTTTTCCAAAGTTTTAATGGTCTGTGTCCAATTTTAGGTGTCCTACCAACCTAGATCCAACTAATACAACCCAACCAAACTCAAGCATTGTCAACCGAAACAAACCTTGGTACCTACGTTGGTACCTACGTATTGTACCTACGCCACCCTTGGGACGTCCGAGCATCCCACCTACCCATTAAGCTCGGTTATTATCCGATACGAAAATAAGGGTGTATTCTTAGCGAAGAGCACATTTTTACAGCAAAACAGACGTTGGGGCATTTCAGAGCACCTGCGCAGGTTGGACTCTTCAAAGAGCCGCGGACCGTGTCACACACAAGAGCCGCAAGCCGGGTCACACACGAGGATCACACACAAGAGCTGCGAGTCAGGTCATATGGAAGGGTGATACACAAGAGCTACGAGCTGGGTCACAGACAAGGATCACACGCAAGAGCCGCGACTCAGGTCATATGGAAGGGTGACACACAGGAGCTACGAGCCGCGTTATATACAAAGGTGCTACACAGGAGCTACGAGCCGGGTCACACACAAGAGCCGCAAGCCGGGCCACACACAAGGATCACACACAAGAGCTGCGAGTCAGGTCATATACAAGGTTCGCATACAGGAGCTACGAGCTGGGTCACACAAACACCACACACAAGAGCCGCGAGTCGGTTCATATACAAGGGTCACACATCGGAGCTATAAGTCGGGTCACACGCAAGGATCACACACAAAGCTACGAGCCGGGCCACACATAAGGATCACACACAAAAGCCGCAAGCCGGGCCATAAACAAGGGTCATACACAGGAGCCGCGAGCCGGGTCACACACAGGGGACACGAGCTGGGTCACACAAGGATCACATACAGGAGCCGCGAGCCGGGTCATATAGAAGGGTCACACGCACGAGTTACGAGCCGGGTCATATACAAGGGTCACACACAGGAGCTACGAGCCGGGTCACGCACAAGCACCTGTCTGTGTGTGGCCTTCGGCCTCTGTCGAGCCCGTTGTGACGTCACGTGTCAGGTCAGGGCGAGTTGGCTGCGTCGACAGGGGTCGCACGCCAGCTCGGACTCAGACTGCGGCCGTACGTCCGCAGCACGTACCTGCCAGGCGCCGCGTGACAGGTCACGTGACCCGTCACGCCGGCCATTGTGGCGGCTGATGACGCCCCGTGTGGCGACCTCATAATGGCGACAACATAAATGGCGGGCGGCGCCATTTATCGTCATCAGCGGTGCCGAGAGGGTCGTTGAACTGCGCTCAACACAACCAGCGCATACGTAAGCAGTGTGCACTGCATATACGCGGGTATGGAACATTAAAGGCCAGCGGGACGCCCGCATACCCGACAAGCGTGGTGGCCGGACCTGTCGGAAAAAGCATATCTGAGAATGCATCTGTGGAAGAAATTAAGGCCTTTTCGGCAATCGGGTGTGACAAACAGTTGAATTTTGGTAGCGGGACAATGTACGCCCCAATATGCATTCTCATGTTCTAGTTTAACAACACGTTAGTTCGTTACTTTTGGGATGTTATATTTTCCTAGTTTTGTGCCATCGTGCTTGTTAAGCAATGAGACGGCCGTCATTATGGCCTTACATGTTAAATAGGAAGACTTAGAATAATTTGCGTCCAAACCATTTAATTGAAAGCCACCTCACGTGCTTACCAGTACGAGGACATGTCACTATATGCCGTTGCTGGCCGACTGCAGCAACGCATACTTCCACGATTGACATGTTATCGAATTCGATCACACAAATGTCATCGTTTGAACTGCTTCACTCCATTGAACTGCGTCACGTCACAAGACCAGTGATGCGAGCGTTTCGACATGGTGAAGCTGACACAGCCACGCGGTGACGGTGGGGGCCCAGTCGGCCCAGAAGCTCGCTCGACCCAACACCGCGTGTTGCTGACTCCGTGCGGACGACGCCCCTTTCGGCCCGATTTCCACCCCCGTAAATAACCGTGTCGCTAACCGATGAGGCAACGGTTCCGGCGCCGTTGCGTCCCCGAGTCGGCGCGCTCTCCCGGCCGCTGCCACGGTTTGCCGCGCCGGGCGCTGAACCGGGCGGCGAGGCCGCTAAATTCGTCGGCGGGTTTCTCCGCCGGTGACGTGCGGCCATCTGGTGGCGTTCTGATTCAGTTGTGGGCCGCGGGCGCACTAATCGCTGGTAATTGTGTGCCCGTCGACACCGATATTACGATCCAATTCGATTTCTTCTGCCGCCGGCACGTGGCGTACTACTACTGGAGTGCCTCTGCCATGCGGCAGGTGCGGCGTACGGCTATCAAGGCTCGGCCGGTCCTGTCCACACGGGCAGGCAATGGTAGCGCATGTAAAGCTCTCGGCGTGCTGGATTTGCAGATCGCTGGCTGACTCCAGCAGGGGTGTCCAAACGCAGGCTGGTTGACTGACGTTCGTGTGGCGGGCGTGTGACGGTTGTGTGACGGTCATGTGACGTTCGTGTGACGGATGTGTGACGGTTGTGTGACAGCCATGTGACGGTTGTGTGAAGACCGCGAGACAGACATGTGACGGTTATGTGACGGCCGTGTGACGGATATGTGACAGTTGAGTGACGGTCGTGTGACGGTTGCGTGATATGCGCCAGCTGCTGCGGCTCAGTCACAGCTGCCAGCCACAGCAGTGAGGTTGTGCGCTGTGCAGAGCTAAAATATGCCGAGTCCGAGCTGTTTCCGAGGCACCGTCGCAGACGCCGGCCGGAGTTCACAAGCGTAAGCTTGCTTGGAATTTTTGGAACAGCCAGGCTCAGTGGCTTGTCACATGCGGCATGGCGTTGAGGGGTGGGCTACGTGCAGGGGTGGGTGGACCAAGGCAGAAGATTGTAACTGGAAATCTACAGAGGCTATCAAAATTGTCGTGTGGTTCTTTATCAGGACTTTGTTGTGGCACCATGTTCACCGTATCTCCTTTTATTCGGGTCACTTGGGTGCGATTAAAAAAACAAAAAACAAACAACAACAATTGGAGCATCGCGAAACAATCGTCTTCAAAATGGTATTCGGACGTATTGTGCAAGTTTGATTAAAACGATTCCAAATGACGTCCAAAGGGAACATATCTGCGACAACGCCGCACGCAGTCGTTTCGTTTTCTGGGCTCATCGTTGCCCTCCATGACGGCGGTAGCTTGCGATACAGTGGCGCGCGAAACAGCCGGCACACAGGAGGGGAGGACAAGTGTGCATGTACCACGTATCTGTTTTGCAAGGTGCAGTCAGTCAGGTCGGCCGCAGGCAACACATGCACCGCTGGGCCGGGGGTTTCTGCCGACCCACACTGCTGATCTTCACTAGCTGCTTCCCCGAGGTGCTGGTTCCGGCGTTATGCCAGTACCGTCCACCGTAGCCCGTATCCGCGTGTTATCCCGTCACTTTTCCAAACACCAGCGCTTAACGCTTTTATCCGGGCAGGCTCATCGATTGTAATAGAAACTTGGCTCATGAACGATGGTTTTCTTTAATATACGAGATTTATGATCCGAAAAACACAGACATGATTAATGACACGCAGCGGAACATCATCCGAGGCGTCCTACAAGCGGAACCGCTGTCACGCATCCAGTAACTCTTGATGCGGAAAACGCTATTGGTCTCTGACCATCAGTACACCGGGGGCCTCGGTTCGACCCTGGATATGATATGTGTCTGCGTCTTCACGGCAGTGGTCCGTCTACTCAGTTTTTTCCGCACGATGTTTGCCTCCTTCGCGCCGCCGCATTACGTTTGGAAGTCTTCCTGTTGTTAGTATGTACCCATCACTTATCCCCAGTGGTTGTACAGTAATTGATAATTATGACAGCGACGGTAACACCACCCGTTGGTGATGACAGCTACCGTCCCAGCTGGTGGAGTCATTAACGGCAGCCGCCGGTGATGATGGTAGCGTTTCCAGTAGGTGATGACGGCCTCTTCCTACTCTGGTGCCTGCGGCAACGTTCTCTGCTGGTGGCGACGGCCGCCGTACGTCCTGGTGGCGGCGGTGCCGATGGTTACGTTACCTTCCCGCCGGCAGTGGTGACGGCTAGCTCTCGGTGATGGGGACGGTAACACCCCACCCCGCCGGCAGTGGTGACGGCTAGCTCTCGGTGATGGGGACGGTAACACTCCGCCCCGCCGGCAGTGCTGGCGGCTAGTTCCCGGTGATGGGGACGGTAACATTCCGCCCCGCCGGCAGTGCTGGCGGCTAGTTCCCGGTGATGGAGACGGCAACACCCCGCCCCGCCGGCAGTGCCGGCGGCTAGTTCCCGGTGATGGGGGCGGTAACATTCCGCCCCGCCGGCAGTGCTGGCGGCTAGTTCCCGGTGATGGGGCGGTAACATTCCGCCCCGCCGGCAGTGCTGGCGGCTAGTTCCCGGTGATGGGACGGTAACATTCCGCCCCGCCGGCGGCGGTAACGCTTCCTTTGGGTGATGGGGGCGATACTTCTCGGTGATGGGGATGGTGATGCTAACTATTGATGGTGACAACGACCGTGCGGCTGTTGGTGATGATGACTGCTGGTAATGTTCAGGTTGATGATGGTGCAACGCTTCCCACGCGGCGGTGGAAGCGTTCACCACCGCTGGTGGCGGTGACGTACCACTGGTGATGACAGCGACATACTACCGGTAACGCTCGCGCCCGTGCGCCGGTGACGGTCCGGTCCGCGCGGCCGCGTGCAGTGAGGCCGCGGCCGCCGGGGACCAGTCGGCCTGGCGGCGGGGACCGGCAGCCGAGCCGGGCCGCCAGTACCCGCTCTCCGCCGCGCCGGGCCGGCCGTCCCGCTGCTCACTCGGAGGCGCCGCGCCGCCCGCGCTGGAGGCGACGCCGGCAGACCGGGCCCGCCTGGTGTCGGCGGCGAGACCCGGGGCTCATCCGAGCAGTGTCGGGTGCAGTGGCAGTGACCGCGCCGGTATTGATGTGGAGCAGCGACGGGCCGCTGGTCCTGCTGCCGGGGTCAGCAGCCAGTCGGTGAGGTGGACCTGTCGTGGTGACCACGCCGGGGTGTACCCCTGACCCCGGGTCAAACTGAGCCGGATCCCAGCTGGCGAGGCGAACCTTGTCGAGACTGTACCTCTGACCCCGGGTCAGACTGATCGGGATCCCGCTGGTAGAGCGGGCCTCCCGTATCGACGCTGTCGTGAACTGCTGACCTTGGGTCAAGCTGGAGGTGGTGTCAACCATGCCGCCCGTGGAGCAAGCCGCCGCCGTGTACCACAACTCGGCCGGCGCGCTCTTCAGCTCCTGGGAGAAGGACCGGCTGCAGGCGATCCAGCAGGTGAGCACGACGTGACCCGACGGCAGCCCCTAACCGCAGAGTGCGGCCACGTGACGTGCACAAGCGTCACCCGCGAGAGAAACCGGCCGTTCGTCATGCACCTGAGCTCTGCATGCAGAAGTCAAGCTTTAGAGGGAGCATGGCGAGCACAGAACACATTCTCTGCAGATGAAACGGAACCGCAGCATGTGCGTGAGAAGAGAATGCAGTGCTCTGACTGGAAAGAGCGGTCGACGGTCCATTTTTGGGTACTGCAGCCGATCGAAGGCATCCCAGCGTCACCACTGGCCTTTGTTCGTGCTCTCCCGCCGCACCGCTACTCTGTCACCCCTTCGTTCCATCGTATTGTGGGATTATCGTCGCCAGAAATGGCGAGTTTGCCGGCAGTGCACCGCTCAACCCGCAGCTGCAAGTATAGCTGGTCCAGCAGAAAGCATGCGATCTTCGGGGATGAGCCTTTCTGTGCTTGGTTTATCTCCACAGACAGCGTTAGAAAGTCTGGGCGTGTCGGAGATGTGGTGCAGCATTTAGCGGTTCACCAAAGTCGTCAACTGTCATCTGCTTACGGGACCTAAAGAAGAGAATGCTGTTCACAACCACGCAGCCGTACCCCAGCCACGGTTCGGACTCGCCGCGCGTCTCTGGCCCCATGTTCGCCGCTATCTGAGGTCGCGTCGCGCCCGCCCATTTGTCACGCAGCCTTTGATAAGGTCTCAGGTCAGGTGCTAATAGGAGAATCTGTAGTTGTATTAACGCTTGATGTCGATGATCTGATGTCTGTTTCAGCGCATGCTTAAACCTATGCTAGTTATCCAGGTTAGCTGGATTGCCTAAATCTGGGTGTGGGTGTCGGCGTTTTTGGCGACCAAGGAAGAAATTCCGGGGAATCAGCACTTGCATGCATGCTGTTGTACTGCACGGCATCGGTCTTGCGACACAGGGACCTTGATTTAATCCTTGGAACTTCAGGCTGAATTCTGTTGTGCAGAACCTCCACATGACTGACGTTTGGAGGATTTATTGCAATCCGTCGATGGGTTAGCCCGTCTGGCTGGTGGTACTGTGCGGCCGAGCTGGCCGGCTTTAGACGCATTCGGGCTGCGCTGGTGGCTCTCCGTTAAGCCGCCGTTGACATGCGATCGAGGCTCGGTCTGACCTGTTAGTTCACTGGGTGTGGTCTGACCTGTAAGATCACCGGGTGCGGTCTGACCTGCGGGATCACCGTGTGCGGTCTGACCTGTGAGGTTACCGGGCGCAGTCTGACCTGTGAGATCACCGGGTGCGGTCTGACCGGCGGGATCACCGTGTGCGGTCTGACCTGTGAGATCACCGGCACCGGGTATGGTCTGACCTGCGGGATCACCATGTGCGGTCTGACCTGTGAGATCATCAACACCGGGTGTGGTCTGACCTGCGAGATTACTGGGTGCAGTCTGACCTGTGAGGTCACCGGGTGAGGTCTCCGGCCAGCAACACGGCGCTCCGATGCTCCAGAACAACAGTCGGTGGGACCGAGCTCTATCATGCGCCCGGTCTTCGTAACCTGGGGTTCCCCCTCCCCCCCCCCCCTAGGTCCCCTTACCTACAGTTGGTAGTGAGGATGTTACAAGCGCATCCTCCTGAGGACGGTAGTGACCAACAGTGTTACTAGAGAGGAATCCACAGAGGTCAATGCGGGTTTTAAAAAGAGTGAATTGAGCGGAATCAGCATGTTCCAGCCGATGCACGCGCTTGGTACATGGTACTGCGCCACCAGTAACGGCGCCCCCTCCTCCCTGCAATGTCAGGTATGCCCAACGCATGCGCGAGGCGAGAGAAACGCAGATTAGCCCGCATGGCCGCTCTTTATGTCACATAATTTATGCGTTGATGTCAGATCATTTTGCACAAAAAGTTGCGTTTTAGACCGCTCTGCAGCCAGCCTCGACGTTGATTTTTATGGTCTTCGTGATCGGCTGTCACTTTCAAGGTCCTTGTGATTTTTTTTATTCATTGCCCGTTGACTGTGCCTACTTTCTTCACAGCACTGTTAACATTGTGTCATCCTGATCAAGGTTCTTGACAGTATGCATTATGCGTTGGGCTGGCTCACTCAGTGCTTTGCAGACATTTTACAGCTGATGGATTATGAGTTAAGGCAATCCTTTATCTGTCCTTTTTACTTTGCACGAAAAAATGTGTTACTTCTTACCTACACTGGACTCCTTATGTGTCACTTGCAGGTTCTATACCACGAGAGGGCGTAGTATTCAGGTAAAACCTGATTTGCAGCGTTGCAGGTCTACTCTCTCTCCACCAGTCTGACAACTTCCGTATCCGGCGTGATTCGGCTTCAACTAGATTCTCACTCTCACTCGACAAAGCGTTGCGCACCTGTCTCTCAATTTTCAAACGCAGTTACGCAAGGAGCACCGGGGTTCTTCTCGTTTCCTTTCGCTACCATCGCAGATGAAGAAGCACCTGCTCTACAACAGACCTCCCTTCGGCATAGTAAAGCAGTCACGCAGTAGACCGAGCACGGCGGGACACGGCCACTCGGTGGCAGATACGAGCCGTGCCGTGTCTCGAGCCTATATCACCACGATCAGTCGCGTCACCGACCACTGTGTGTGCCGGTAACGCCCTTGACCGAGTGGTCAGCTCGGCGACCGCCCGCCGCGTTCGCCGCAGCGGCAGGAGCGAGCCACAGCAGCGCCACGGTCGCCGCACGCCGTGGGCGGCGGTCGCTGGCCCGCCGACGGCCGGAGGCGAGGGGTGTCTCAGGGATGCGGCTCGTGGCTGCGTGCAGCGCTGCCCGCAGCCCAACAGGGTCAGTCTACCGTGATCTGAGAGCCTCTCGGGTCACGAGAAGCTGCGTCTTAGCGTTCAGCAAACCACGGCCAGTCGCCCTGAGTTCCGTTTAAGACGTTGCCTGGGCAGCTGACGGACACCTGCTGAGAGACGGGTTTTCAGCCGCGGCGTGTCACCAGGCAGCCCTGCCGGCGGCGCCACTCGGCCGTCAGGTTCGCCGCTGCTCAATCCGCTCGCCAGAGCGGCCGGTCCAGTCGGGCGCCGCGCTGAGCCCGGCGCTCCAGCCGGACCGCGGCGAAAGTGAGCGCCGCGGGCGGGCGTGTGTCCAGCGCTGCCGGACGGGTCGACGCCGTCCTCTCGGCGCCGCGGGCGGGCGTGTGTCCAGCGCTGCCGGACGGGTCGGCGCCGTCTCCTCGGCGCCGCGGGGATCTGCCGGCGGTGTGGCCAGGCAGCTGCTGGGGCGGTCAGCCAGGCCGTGATGGCGGCTGCCGGCGACGAGGGCGTGGGCGCGCCCGGCCAGCAGCCGGCCGAGTTCAGCGATGACGCGGGCTCGGGCGTCGCCACCGGAGGCCCAAGCCGTCCTACAGGTTATCTGTGACGAGACTGATGGGACTCCTGCGTGGGCTCGGCCCGGCTCGCTTGGCGAAACTGTTACTGATTGCGTCACTACGCCCGGCCCGGTGCGTAACGGGGGCGCGCCTGATCATAACAGGCACACGCCTGACCATAATAGGGGCACGCCTGATCATAACAGGCACACGCCTGACCATAACAGGGGCACGCCTGATCGTAACAGGGGCACGTCTGATCATAGCAGGTACACGCCTGACCATAGCAGGGCACTCCTGATCATAACAGGGGTACGCCTGACCAACAGGAGCACACCTGACCTATGAGGGACGTCACAGGACACGTCTCCGGTTGTGGCAAGCCTGCCCACCTGCGCCTAGCCCAACTGGGGCGGTGTCTACCGATGGCCGGCGGCGGCGTGTTTACGCCCGGCCGACGGGCTATCTGCGGCGCGTTGGCAGATCGCTCGGCTGTATCTGGACGCCGGTCGGTCGGTCCGTTTGTTTGGGCGCTGTGCTGCCGACGGAGTGGGCCGGGGAGGGGCGGAAGTGGAGCTCTGATGGCTTTACTCTGGATGTTTGTGCTCCAGCGATATAGATGATCGGATGTCGTCATCACAGTGTGAAAGAAGTGTACCAGTGGCCGGGGACCTCGGGACAACTCGCAGCGTTGTTTGCTCTGCGACGCCTGCCGTCTGTGACGAGCGGTGATGTTATGCTCCGCAGGCCGTGGATTGGAAGCTCAGCAAGTGGCGGCTGCTGCTGAGGCACCTTGGTTGTAAGGGGCTTATGCTGTTAGTGGCTTGTGGTGCCTTTAAGGGTCTGATGCTATGAGTGGCTATAAGTACCTTACGCTATAAGTGGTTATTAGTGGTTCAGTACCGCACGGGACGTGGCACGCGTGCAATCCTGGGCAAGGGGCCCCGTCTGTGGGCATGACAATATAGAGGCCTTGCGTTTGTATACCGCATGTTACTAACTGCCTCCATTGCTTCATTCCCCACGAAAACTTATGATGACGCAAACCAATACATCCTACACCTGGATTGTTCAGAACCGTGGACGGCGTGATGGTCATCACTGGTCATTTACTCCAAGCCAGTGTTGCTTCCTTGACAGACTTTCGTTACCGAGAGCCTTCCAGCGTGAATGGACATGGGTCGCTCGGTTTAGGTTATAGCACATTAGCCGTCATATTTTTTGACTAGATAAGGTTTTACAACCACATGCCGATTTCCTTTTACAGCTGTTATTCAAATGTGTCCTGAAAGCATCGCGATGATTGTAGTTTCTCAGTAGCAGGCGTCCCGTCCGCCCGCCACACATCTACGTCATAAATGGTGTGCTCCCACTTGTCAAGGGCCTAGTCTGTCCATTCACATCCCTCCTTAGGCTCTGGAATGCACATAGCCGGCAGCTATTGCCACTGTCGGAGCATTTTCTCCATTTACGCACGTCTCCCACATTGTCAGTACGCGGTGCCATCTCTCTCTTTCCGTCACGCTAATTTCCCCTGACGTTTCACTCGCGAGGCCGTCGCATTGTGTGTTCGTTTCTCTCTTGCTCTCCGCCCACTGTCTCCCACGTGTCCTGGCACGGGCGTCTGCCGCTGTTTTTTCCGCAGCACTTCCTCGCTGTTCA